TGGTCTGACTGAGACTGGACCCTCGAAGGCATGGCCCCCAGACGCTCTGTTGGCCTAAACTAAAGCCATTCCTGAGGCCCACTCTTCAGACAAAGACTGGACTGGACTACAGAACATAAAATAATACTCAGGAAGAGTGCGCTTCTTAGTTCAAGCAGATATTTGAGACCAAATGGGCGGCTCCTGTCCAGAGGCAAGATGAGAAGGAAGGGACAGGAGTGGGTTGAACGGACACGGGAAACCCAGGTTGGAAAGGAGTGTGCTGTCACATTGTGGAGATTGCAACTAGTGTCACATAACAATGTGTGTATAAATTTTTGTATGAGAATTAACTTGAGCTGTGAACTTTCACCTACAGCACAATTAAAAAAAAAAGACAAACATCCAGGCAGAAAAGCAAGTTACCTAAATAAAAAAGGAAAAGAAAAACACAATGATCTCAGAATTTTCCTCTGGAAGACTATAATTTCCAAAGATGCCCACAGTAACTACCTCCCATATGGTCTTCTGTAATGTGACTTTGCTGCTACTCCCTCATCACGAAATGGAATCTGTTCCACCCTCAAAAAAAAAAAAAAAAAAACTTGGGCAGGCCATGGACTGCTTCAACCAATAAGATACAGTACAAGCTATGCTGTGCCCATACTGCGAATACCCCTTAACTAGCCAGGCAGCTTCCTGTCTCTTGGAGCCACAAACCCCTATGTAAGAAGTCTAGGCTTCTGGCTGGAAAGAGAAGCCGAGTGAAGGAGCGCTGAGGTGCCAGATGTGAGCAATCGTGGACATCCAGCCAGCCAAGCCTTCAGATAACTTCCGCCCAAGCCACTATCTGACTGCAAATGCAGACACCTCAAGTGACAACTGCCCCAGGCAATTTAAACAGTGAGAAATAATAAACTGTTTTAAGCCACTAAGTAGTAGGGTAGTTTGTTACACAGTAATAGATAATCAGAACATCTCTAAAACAACAAGGAATGCTAGAAGACAAAGAAATGCCCACAGGGTGTAGAAGGAAAAGGATATAACCTAAGATTTCTGTACTCAGCCAAGACATAATTTACTCATGTGAAACAATAATCTGAACAAAATCTATAGGGCAAAATAATAATAATAATGTCATAGGGCAGAGTGAAGCCATTCACTTTTAATACCCAGCAAATGAGGATTCTGCTAAAAAGACAATATAGACTAATTTCAAAAAATGGATAAAACTAAAAAAAAAACAAACCCATTGCCATCGAGTCAATTTCGACTTATTGCGACCCTATAGGACAGAGTAGAACTGCCCCATAGAGTTTCCAAGGAGCGCCTGGTGGATTCGAACATGCCAACCTTTTGGTCAGCAGCCATAGCACTTAACCACTATGCCACCTGGGTTTCCCAAAAAAAAAAAAAAAAAGGATACTGATGTAAAATCCAAAACACAATTATTAGCAAAAACAAATCCAGGAATAGATTAAAAGAGAACTATACCACGACCAAGGAGTCCTGGTGACGCAATGCTAACCGAAAGGCTGGCAGTACGAATCCACCATTAACTGTGCAAAAGAAGAGACCTGGCAATCTGCTCCTGTAAAGATTTCAGTCTAGGAAATCCTATGGGGCAGTTCTACTCTGTCCTATAGGGTCACTATAAATCAAAATCGACTTGACGGCATATGACGATGCCGTGACCACTAAGGTTCTTTCCAGCAATGTAGTTAATTTAATAACAGAAAATCGATTAACACAACCCACTCAATTACAGTGAATGGAGAAAAACTACGATCACATTAGACGTGAAAAAGGCATGTAATACAAAAACCAGTGAGAAATCCACAGAACAAATACAATGGACAAAAAAATGCTCAACCTTCCTAATTTTTAAAACACAAGTCTAAAAGAGATACTATTTTACCCAATAGGTTGCCAAGAACTAAAAAGTTACATTAACTGTGCTGTTCTGAGAGATCAGCAAAATAGCAGATTTCATACACTGTTATGGGAGCTTAACTTTTTGGGGGAGGGTGTGATTTGGCAGTATCTGTTAAAATGTAATAAGTTTATAGTGAGTTTCAACAAGTTTTAGTCTACAAAAATATTCAAGCAACGTGTAGCAAAGACATATATGTGTCTTGGAATCAAAGAAAAAAGTTCCAGCTTTACAAGTTCAGAAACTCATTTTTTTTAACTACACCCAACAAAACTGTGATCTATTAAACCACTATAAAATAAAAGTCTGGAAATATATGCATCAAACTCATAGCAAAAGGTTATCTCTGACAGATGGGAATGGAAGGGTATGAGAATTTATGTTTCTATACTTCAAAAGTTGTTTAAAAATTAAAAACTTATAGTAACACACTCTCTTTATATTCAAGAAGTCTTCATCTCCACATGTCATCCCTATTTGAAAGGGAACCATGGTTTTTGGCTTAGTATTATCCTTCTAGATCTTTTTCTATCCACTAGGTATATATAGAAATAGTTATGATTAATATATATATACACACACAGCAGGTACTCAATAAATATTTTTGAATGATTATGCATCTTTGTACTTGCTTCTCTATGCATATTTTCAACTTTTTCTCTAATAGAGATACTTAGAACTGCTAGGCTAAAGGATATGTGTGTTTTAAGTTCAACAGATACCTCAAAAGTGTTCTTCAAAACGGATATACCAAGTTATATTACACATGCTCACCAGCACACATTTTTCTACTCTTTAACACTAGTTTTGTTTTTTGTTTGTTTTTTGAGGGTGAGTTCTCTCACTCTTGTTTAACTTTTATTTCCCTGATATTAGTAGCTGCTCTCTTCTGAAGTGTTTAACTACTTTGTAGTTCTTTATATATTCTACCTATTAATATTAATACCTTTGTCAGTAATTTCCTCCCCATCTACCACATCTTTTAATTTTATTGTACAGTTCCTTTTCCTATAATCAAACCTATTCTTTTTCTTTACGGTTGATGCATTTTACTTATAAAGGCTGTTCTACCCTATGGTAAACATCTCCTGTATTTTCATTTAGTACTATTCTATAGCTTTATTCTTTATCTCTGGATCTTTATCTGGAATTTGTTTTTGTTTTTGGTGAAGTAGAGATCCAACTTAAATATCTTCCAGAAATACAGCCAAATGCCTCCAAACCATTTATTAAGAAGTCAAATCTTTGCTCCAATTTAAAATGCCATCTTCATCATACATTCATGTCATACTGGCCGTTTCATTGCTCTCTCCAAACATTACTACAACATTTTAATGACTATGTAATATTTTGATATCTGGTAGGGAAAGTTCCTACCTCCTCCAAATGTTTCAAATGTGCCTTGCTAATTATCCAGCCTTGCTTCTGCCAAATTTATTTTAGAACCAGTGTGTATTATTTCTTATTTCTACACTTTTAAAAAGCAAAAAAGAAAAATAAAAGTAATATAAAGTGATAAACTCATGTAAAATATATTTTCCTCCAGTGAGTACTAAAAGCCCAAGTAAAAATTTGTAGATCAATTCAAGATTTCCTGCTTCCCTTTTATAAGTGACCAAGAAATACAAACAAAAAAATCTTTTCAGAAAGAAACCTTGAGGCCAAACCATCTACTTATAAATTATTTCACAAACTTCTTGTGTTTAACTCAAAAGCAGACACACTCAGGAATTTCCAAACCTTTTATTAGGTCTTTCTCCAGAGGGCTGATCCTATGGAATCTCAGTGTTTAACCAGAACATTATGGATAGCCAACTTTGATAACAGTTGACAGAGAATGAAGCAGTACCAAAAATATCATTACCCATTCTCCCGGTTATTCCACTGTACTTGATGTTTACCTATGCCTCACTGTGTTTTTAGAAAAGTGACAAATGCCAGCAGTTGTGGGAGCAGCAGTAGAAGTACCACTTGTGCCTGGAAAGCCCCGACAATTTGGGGACCAGATAAATTGTCACAAAAGACCTCTTTTTTACAGTGTCATTTTTTTTCAGTTTTAATTCACTAATGCTTTACTGCCTTTCATCTCTAAACATGAATAGTTATGAAACATTCATTACCTTTTACAGTCTCTGAAGAGAAATTGTATTTATTACATTATACAGTTAGATGACTTGCCCCAGGACTTATATATAGTGAGTCAGCTATATGTCTGGGAAAATTCAAGAGATGCCACCACCCAGACTGGGGCTCACATCTTTGTGGCCTTAACTGATTAAAAAGAAATGCACATTTCATTCAAGACTTAAGAAATTCTAACTGTGCTATTTATATACACACAGAAGATTTTTTAAAATTCATAACACATAATACCCAAAAATAATGGACCACAATAATTCGTTCAAATTTACAAAAAAAAAAAAAAAACCATCATCAGAGATAATTTTAGCTGCCCATTTGCACTGTTTTCCTTCATTCGGACATCATTCTCAGTTTTCCCCGAACGAAAAAAGAAACTATAACATAATTTAACTAGAACTGACATGAAAAGTTGAGGTTTTGCTTTTTTCATACTTTTCAAAATGCAAATATATTTGGCAGAAATATTCCACAACACGAATGATGAAAGGCAATGTCAAAGCTGACACTGTCTAAAATCAAAATTTTCACCTTGCCACACTAGATAAACGATCGTAAATTTACTTAAAGGATAGCTACCTGGCATTAAGAAAGAATGCAGTAGATCAATACTTACAGGCATTATGAAAAAATTTCCAAGTAACTTAAGTAATAAATGCAATTTCCAGATCTGTATGTATAAAATACTATTTGTGTGCGTGTGTGTGTGTTAAAATGTACACATCCTTGTAAAATTTCTAAAGGGTAACAAAAGTGACTGCCTTTAAGGAACAGGTCAGATGAGGAAGTTTACTTTCCACTTATGCTCCTTCTGCATGGTTTGAATTTTATGTACCAAACTTTTTTTAAGATTTAAAAATTTCACCTTATTGTTTAAATTATAAATTCAGTAAAAATTTACTGAAAATTTCTTTCATATTCACTTAATGTACCCGAGCTTACACCTTACCTACTTTGTTGATCTCCTGGCTTGCGGACTGAATATAGTTTATCTTCTCCAACTTTTTCAGGTTCCTTTATTCTTACTCTAAATTTAAAATAATTTTATCTTTAATACGTTATATTTACTTTCTCAAAGAATATACTTAACATGTTATATGAATGTTATTCCACTGCATTTGATGTTTACCGTTGATGTTTATCTACGCCTGTTTTTAGAAAAAGGAGTGACAAATACCAACAGTTGCTGGAGCAGCAGTAGAGATACCACATGTGCCTAGAAAGCTCCAGCAATTCTGTGACCCAATAAATCGTCACAAAGGACCTCTTTTTTACAGTGTCAAGTATCTTATGAGCTCTCGACAACGTTAGCCAGTAACGGTGATGACGGAACAAACATTCATGGTCATTTTAAACTGCTTAAAGTGAACTGGAAGACAAGAGTCATCCATGGGGCTAAAAAGATTTTGCCAGCTCAAAACTAGAAATATTAACTTAGATTATTTCCATATACATGTCTGTTCGTACCTTAGTTCTGCCATTTAAATGTTGCAGACCCCTGGGTCAGTTTTACCTAACTCCCCTCAGAACTGAGGTTTGCACATCTGTAAGATGGGAGTGATTACACGTTCCAGGGAAAGTCCTGTGAGGATCTCCCGGAGAGAAGGCGCTCAAAATGGCAGTACCCTTCGCTTTCTCCAAGGTTTATGACAAATCCCCCCCGGGCCTCCTTCCCAGCCCCGCGAGGCGGACCGTCCTCTGGAGTCGGCTCCGCTCACCCGCAGCTCCCGGGGGCCCTGCCCCCACAGAAATGCGGCTCCATTCCGGGGGGCGGGTAAAACAGGCTCCCCAAACTCCCATGTGGGACAAGAGGGGATGGACGCAGCACTCAAAGCCGCTTCTCATCACCAAGCCCCACGACTCCCGCCCAACACACCAGCATCCCAGCCTGCACTACAGGAAAAGAAAAGGGACCCAGAGCCGCCTCCTCGGACGCGAAGACGAGGCCCTCAGACTCACCGTCAGGAGGAGGGCGCCGGGCAACTCCACAGAGCGGCGACCGCGGCCCACAGCCTTCAGGCAGACGCTGAAAGCGCTCGGCGCCCCTCCCCCCCTCGCCCCGAAGGACTCCAGGTGCCCGGGGGGCGGGGCCTCGTGGAGCCTCAGGACGCAGGCGCAGTCTCCTAGCAACGTTCAGCTGCGTATCGTCAGCCAATGGCACAGAACGCCGGCAGAGGTTCGAAAGTAAACGGCCGGTAGCGCGGGCCGAGGCGGGGGCGTGGCCGGGAAGACTTGGCAGAAGGCCCGCGCCCAGCGTTCGGCGCTTGCGCACTAGGCGCGTGTCGCCTCAGAAAGCTGGGGTGGAGACTCTTCCGGCTGCGGGTTACTCCGGCGGTCGTGGCTCGTGGGCTGGGGTCCCGCCGAGGAGGCGGGTGGCGCTAGTGATCCCGGGAGAGGGGAACCTGGCGGGGACAAAGCCGAAGCGCGGGCGACCGACGATTTCTAGATGAAAGATTCGTGAGAGTTTTTACACTGAGTCGAGGTGGCACGTTCAGATTCTCCACTTCTAAAGCGCAGTGTCTCCAACGTTACCGCACAGTTTCCCGGCCCCGAGAAGTCTCCACTCGCCCTGAGGACCCCCGCTCACGGCTCTGCCGACCTTTGGCACGCTCCGTGCTCCTCGAGGCCGGAGTTTGCTTTTGTGCACGGATTCTGGGGACAGTTCAACACTTTTCCCAACTTCTCCACCAAGTTCCTATTTCACCTTCCTAACCCCCTAGAATCAGAAAACGGTTCCTTTTTTTTCCTTGAGAAACTTTGTCCAACTGTGTCTCAAGACATACTCTATCACAGCTTCTCTCTCCTAATTATACTTAATTACTGCTGTGCTAAGTAAAACTGTGGGAGTTGGTATACTGTGCATTGCCTGTACGTTAGATTACAAGGGAATTTTAAACGAGAGATAAGGCAATATGAGAGAGTTCTCGAGTCAATCTAAAACGTCTTCACCCATTCAGCTGCCTAAAAGATTGACAACGCAAGTGTGGATTCAAGCAATACCCAGACATATACATGGTGATATATTATCCATTCCACCTTTTTTATGCGTATACATTTTCTATTTAAGCTCTGGAATCATCCTAATAGACAGCTTTTTAACTTGCTGTCAAAACAATCTATTGTGACTCTTTTTCCATAGCAATAAATGCACTATGTTGTAGCTGTTGTTAGGAGCCGCCGAGTTGGTTCCAACTGACAGCAACCCTGTGTGTGACAGAAGGAAACACCGCGAGGTCCTGCTCCATCCTCACAATCATTGCTATGTTTGAGCCAATTGTTGCAGCCACTTTGTCAGTCCATCTCCTCAAGGGTCTTCCTCTTTTTCGCTGACTCTCTACTAAGCATGATGTCCTTCTCCAGGGACTGGTCCCTCCTGATAACATGTCCAAAGTCTCACCATCCTCACGTCCAAAGAGCAGTCTGGCTATACTTCTTCCAAGACAGATTTGTTCATTCTTCTGGCAGTTCATGGTATATTCAATATTCTTCGCCAACATCATAATTCTAATGCATCAATTCTTCGGTCTTCCTTATTCATTGTCCAGCTTTCATATACATACGAGGCAACTGAAAATACCATAACTTGGATCAGGTGCACCTTAGTCCTCAAAGTGACATCTTTGCTTTTTAACACTTTAAAGAGGTCAAATGTACCATACTTCTGTAAAATTATTCCCTTTTAAAAAATAAATAAATGTAACTGCCCTGGAATTGTATTAGTGTAGCTGAATAATGTTTTGGGCTATAATTTTTTCCACCTGTTTTCCCCTCTGTGCTTCCTTACCTCAAGGGACTTCTGTATGTAACAGGAAAGCAGAAGTGACTTACTGGCTTTTGTTTTCCAAAAACACTGAGCCCACTGAGGAGAAAAACATTTGAGGGAAGAAGATGAATGTTTGGGAGAGACAGAAAGAGAGAAAGCAGTCTGCTAGCCCTCACATAGAGAGAACTCAGGCCCTGGGGGGAGAAAGCTGTGATGCCGAAAAGGAAGGGCTACAGCTGTGCCTCTGGGCAGACTGGCGTAGAGGCCCAGCGTTTCCCAACCCTCTCAAGGATTTCTGTAACCCCACATGACAGGGAAGTGGCAAAGAGCCACAGGTGCCTACAAGAACAATGACAGCTTCAGAAGTGGCAGTCATTTAGACCAATAACTTGAAGTACTTGGATTTGGGGACTGTGATTCATGCCTTCTACAGAAAATGATGTTGACCTGGAAAGGTTGGATGAGAGAACTAACTCTTAGATGCAGGAGTATGTGCTTAAAATCCACAAGTTTAAAAAATCTGAGGTGCTCAGGTGCTCAGCCACCAAAAAAAGGGGGGAGCTCAGCTGCCTTTGGGTCTCTGCCTGTACACTTCCAGCAATATCCTTTTGATAATGTATAGGAAAACGACAAAAGATGATAAACATTTGCAGTTATTACCAGATATAGGAAGAGGAGGAAATAAATAAAACATTAATTTTATGACAACATTTTGGTGCACAGGTCAGGCTTCTTTCTTGACATCATCTGTCTTAACGCTGAAACAAGAGGTCTCCATCACACAGAAATGCTCATCAGGAGAGCAAAAGCACTTTCTAACTAGGAGTTCTAATAGCTACAGGTGGGAGAAAGATGTGGCAGTCTGCTTCCTTAAAGATTACAGCCTTGGGGAAAGAAAAGATTACAGCCTTGGAAACCCTGTGGCGCAGTTCTACTCTGTCCTGTAGGGTCGCTGTGATTGGCAATTGGTTTGTTGTTTTTTTTGTTGAATAGCTACAGAGTTTAAATACCCCTCTATTGTCTCCCATCATATTGGCCTAGCAGAATTATAATAAAGAGAACACGTGATTTTCCAAAGTTAGAAGGCTCCTATGCCTCATTTCTAGGACTTCAGAGAAAACATAGCCACAGCTGCAGCCGTGATTACCGTGGCAGTGAACCAGAGAAAAGAAGCTAGAAGAATCCACCTAACAATTCATAAAAGGTCATTCTACCTGGAAAAACACACCCTGCTATATGATACAATGGAGTTCATAGACTTAGATTAAGATCTGGAAGGGATTTTAGAGGTAATCTAGAAAAATCCTCATTTTCAGAGGAGAAAAACCTATGAACCAAGTTAATGTTGCCTTAAACTGACTTTTAGCCCAAATTTGCATATTAGTATACCTAAAAATATATAAACTACACAGTTTTAAACACTAGAATATATTATATACGATTTATTTTCATATACTCCTTTTCTGCTATTTCTGAATGTAATTTAAAAGAGTATTAATAACGTCTTCTGTCCATTAGCAGTTTACCTTCTAACTAGTCTCTCTTGTCAGTTACAGTCTATCATTAAGAATCATTTTATTTCAAATGCTACTTTTTTTTTCCCTTAATCTTTTTGAAGTTCTCAATTTTATGAGTAACTGTTACCTGAAATAAATTTAGGCACTTAATATCCAATTTTCTAGGACATTCTGTTTGTTATGCCACCATCACATACCTATTTTAACTATCCAAGCATTTTGAATTTCAAGAATTTTTTTCTTATAAATCCTTCATAGAATTTTTATTTTGATACAGTATTGCATGATTCTTGCATCAAACTGGTATTTGTTGATTGCCTAACAAATACACAGCATATAAGATGCAAAGAACACAGGTCCTGTGCTCAAATTGTTTATCTAAATGAGTTAATATACAAATATTTAAATGATAACATCAGATAATCTGTAGTCTAGAGTGATTGTACACCTAACTGGGATGGGCAGCCCAGGTCATAAGTCTTGAAGTTCCTACATTATTGGTGAATGGTGACCAAGTAGTTGGAGCTGCATGTAAGTGAGCTTCACCTGTTCTGAGATTCATTGAGGGTTGCTATAGGAGGTACAAATCAGAGTGGCTGCTCACCTCACAATTAATTTCCTAGTAATCGTGCCTGTACTGCACCACCTTTTCAGTGATAGTCTGTCCCCTATAATCAGAATGGTTGGAATTGGGGCAAAAAGGCAAGTCTGAGATTGGCTAATTCCTTTCCAACCCTGGTTGGCGCTGCTGATGAGAAATCAGATCACCTTTGTCTTCTAAGATTTGGGGACTTAGGTAATAAAACACCCATATTGTTTAAATCCTCTGCTGAAGAACTTTCCCGTTCTCTCTTAACCAACAAGCGCTGGGGCCCTTTTTCTAGCTAGAGACTCTTACATGGGCACATCACAGTCAGTGTACACACGTCATTATGTTCGGAATGGTAAATGCCAAATACATGTGTATGCTAAGGACGAAAGAGCTCATGTAGATGAGTACAGATAGTTCCTTTTGTTTCCCTTTCAGGATACACTTGATGTTCATAATGACCAGAATTCACCTTTTTTTTTTTTCTTTTTTTTAAAGTTTAGGCATATTTGGAGACAGAAGTATATGGTATGACTTGTCTTGTACCCTCCCTCATTTTCAGATGATCCTAGCAATGTATGAGTAAACACCAAATTAGTTTTAGTAACAGCATTGAAAAAGGAAGAGATTGCATCTCATATATGTAATAATCGTAATCATAATGATTAACATTTATTGAGCACTTACTATGAATCAGGCTAAATTACATTCATTATCTCACT